TATATATATATATATATAGTGTGTGTGTGTGTGTAGTGTGTGTGTGTGTGTGTGTGTGTGTGTGTGTGTGTGTGTGTGTGTGTGTGTGTGTGTGTGTGTGTGTGTGTGTGTGTGTGCGTGTGTGTGTGCGTGTGTGCGCGTGCGCGCGTGCGTGCGTGCGTGCGTGCGTGCGTGCGTGCGTGCGTGCGTGCGTGCATGCGTGCGAGCGTGCATGCGTGCATGCGTGCGTGTGTGTGTATATACAGCTTAATAATTTTCTTTTGTTAATTAGTTATATACGTATAGTACGTACACACAAACATTGGAATCGTGATTGAAAAAAATCACTTGCTAACTTGCAATTGCTCACACAGCAAATGACAGAATTTTACGTCTAATCTATGATAATTAATAAATGAGAATAGCAATCACATGAACGAATTCTTTACATTATCTAAGATCACAACGTAATTTAACATACACCTAATATATGCAAATATGTAACTTTTTGACAAAATACATGTCCTTCTAGTAAATTTTGCGAAAGCAAACTTTTATTATCAATGGTAAAAATGTGAACGTTATTTCGTTCCATTTATTAGACTAATTGTAAGAATGCCTAGAAATAAAGATTGAGAAAGACACCATGCCAAAGATACATGGGTAATATATAAATCTTCCGAAGTTGCTTGATAACATATTTTTTCACAATAAATAAAGTGAATGATAGGAAAAATTAAATTTCATTTTATGTTTATGCTTCGGAGATTGATGTAACTTTTGTGATATATTTGTAGACTTTAAAGGATTCGACAAATGTGATTATATATACGTATATACAAACTTAATGTTTATAGAAAAACATTAATATAATCAATATAATTATTATAATTGCACGTATCTAATTTCAACAAAATTTTGCATGCAGCGCATTTTTTTGTAAAAGTTAATAAAGGAACATAAAATTTGTGAAGACAAAGTAATTTACATAGCTTTATTGGATAGCGAAATGAACTAATCCATCTATCTTGTAAACCTTCCCGCTCATTCTGATGAAAAGTTAAATGCGAGACTTTTATCGTAAAACTAGTATAGAAGTTTGACGTGTTATTGAGGAAAAAAGGATGTTACTTGTTACGTTATAAAGTAACTATACAAGGAAACTTTTTTACGAGGTATAAGACAGACAGCGAGAATATTGTAGGCGTGAGATATTGTAAACCTATATACATATTATGTCTGTTAGTCTTTAATTGTTATTTTTAAATTATACAACCTGCTTTAGTTAATTAATGAGATCTAACATACATATATTTTTCTTGATCTACCCGCCGAAAGTATGGTTATTCTGGCCGCCCGAGACGCCAGAAAGAGCGACTTTTAGGGCCTGCTCGAACTGCAGCGCACTCTGACGAGCTATTTTCTGTAGCCGGTAGTATAGCAAAACTCATGCTCTTATAGCAGTATTAACAGTTTTTGTTTTTGATGCGCGCCCCGACCAGCAAAACCTCGGCTTCGCCTCGGTTTTGCAAAAGTCGGGCGCGCCCCCCCCCTCCCCCGCCGTTTGCAAAAACCTCGGCTTCGCCTCGGTTTTGCAAAATACACATTTGACGTATTAAATTTGCCAACTATATTTTACTTTTTATTATACTAACATTACAGACGCGCGCTCCGCG